TTTGGAGGAGACTCCCATAAAGGTCTAAGGAAATAAGAGACCTTCTGGCCATGAAGATATATGAACAATATCAAGAGTGGAACAGCCACAAAGAAAGAAATTAGTATCTTCAAATTCCACCCTCGAAGAATACATCGTAATCTAGACAAACCAAAAGCCCCACGAGGCCCCTGCCACAAACAAAAACAACGAACATTGAAGAACACAATCAGCAATCAAACGACATTTCCAGATGCAAAAACAAGTGAAAAACGATAAATGGGGATGACAAGACGTTAAATGAGCTGAAATTTGCACACCCAGAAAAGGAAATTTAGCTATAAATGGAAACGAACAACAAATTTGATTGAATTCCAAATCAATGCACACTTCAAATCAAATCATTCTACTCATAAACAGAACAACAACGAAGAATGTCCATCATTAATGGGCATTTCGAAAGGAATCGAAGACAAGTTCAACCAAAAGGGTTAAGAAAAATGAAGAACAACACACAAGTTCTTAACTCAAAAAGTCCAGAAAACAGATTCGGAAAACAAGATAAAGAAGCAATCGAACAAGAGAAACAGAGAGGATTCAAAGCAACAGACCTGGGCGCAAACACCATCAGTCCTTTTAGAGCTGTAATACCCATCAAACATTATGAACAAAATACAGACAAATCTCAGAAAATGCCGGATAAATCCTCAAATGCTCTCTCAAAACTCCGCAAAATCAGATCCTAGAAACTCCGACAAACAAATCCCCACAAAAGGGGCGAAGCAAACTAAAATTTGGAAGAGATATTCCGGCGGTGTGGGTACAAAATGTGAAATGAACTCAGTTTAAACGCTCTGTAGCAATCGACATAGCGCAAATACTAGCCGTTCGTGTTCTTATTGATGGCTTTCATGAACAGCTCTCAATTCCAGAATCCCGGAGTTTGAGAGAGAGAGGTCATCGGAGAGATGACTGAGAAGAATACAGAATACAGAAATGGTGCTTACTGCTTAACCTCAAATATTTCTTTATTTATATATTTTTTTTATCCCCTGATTTTCCTTCACCAAATAATCCCAAAAATTTAGAAAACTTTCAACGAAAGGGAATATATCGTGTGCGCTCACACCCACACTATCATCCATCTCGATCTATTCTTGATCGTTGGATTGAAATCCAGATGCTGATCCAACGGACAGCCAGCTTAAGGAATGCTCTGTGACCAATAATAGTTTAGTCAACTTATACATGGACCTGTGGTTAAATTCGAAATTCCCGCCTGTCATGTTAGTAATTTAAATCAATAATAAAAATATATGTCGGTAAATTCATGATCAATTACAAATTTACATGTCTTCCCAAATTAAAATTAAAATTAATGAACAATTGGCCAATCGAATAATGCCACCTGTCTTAAAAAATTTAATTATCCAATTAAAGCCCATCATACTTAAAAGCTCATCGATTAAAACTCTATAAAAAAGCAAGGTCGCCTTCATTTGATAGGTTGGTCAACGAATTTAAGGATTGGTCGTATAAAAAAAATTAAGAAATTCAATTACCGATCATTCAAGAAGATCAACATGTCTTCTCAAATGTCGATCATCTGATCAATACGTCAAAGGACGATCCATTAAGAAGCGTTTTGAATTTAAATAAAAATATAAATAATTTCATGTTATAGTGTTATTAAATTTAATATAGAGTATACGAATTTAAATATTTAATGTTAGCTTAAATAATACCATTTCACGTCAATTCAATTTTATATAAGGAATTGTGGTTAAATACGAAATTCCCGCCTGTCGTGTTAGTAATTTAAATTAATAATAAAAATATTTGTGGATAAATTCAAGATCAATTACAAATTCCCATGGAGCCAAACGTACTCAAAGCTCGTACAAGGTTACCTTCATTTGATAGATCGGTCAATACGTTTAAGGATTGGTCGTCTAAAAAATAAAAAAAATTTAATTACCGTTCATCCAAGAAATCAATATGCCTTCCCAAAGGTCGATCATCTAATCAACCTGTCATATGACGATCTATTTAGAAGCGTTTTAAATCCAAATAAAAATTTAAATAACTTCATGATACAATGTTATTAAATTTAATATAAATATAAAAATTTAAATATTCGATATTAGCTTAAATAATACTATTTGGTTCAATTTATATACTAAATCAGTTTAAGAGTAAGCAAAAAATTAAAACGAAATAAAATGAAATTAGAGGGTATAGTTTATTTAAATAATTTGAAGAGAAATGAAAGTTCGGTAAAATGCCAGATGGATTCGGTTGACGTAGGATTGCCACGTGTAAGGACGGTAACCCAGAGAAGTTGGGTTCGCTTGGTCTTCTTTGACAGCTAACTCCACATGGCTTGAGAAAGTTGGACTGAGGAATCTAAGTACTCCTCGTTTGACTTCTTCTTCGCCTTTTCCTCTCACATTTCTCATATTTAAATTTAATATATAATAATTAATATGATATTTTAAATATTATAAGACTTATCCTAAGTATATATATATAATATATCTATAAATTTCAAACTAACTTTATATTGCTGTCCACGTCATTATAGGATAAACCAGCATTTTTAAAATAACAAAAAAATAAAATTTTGAAAATTTTACTGACGTTTTTTTTTTCTTAATTAAAATAAGAATATCATTTAAAATATTATTTTCTTATTGAACCAACGACAATAAATTCTATATTTATTATAAATAATAAAAAATAAATTCTCGTAGAATTGAACATCCAAATAATCAGATGAGAGTCATTTTCTATATTAATTGAATAATAGAATGTCTAGTTTAATTGTCAAAATAACGAACATGCAAACTATCAGAGTCGTTTTCTCAATTAAATGAGACTATAAACAAAATTTTTCTACGCCATCAAAGTTTGAATTGTATACCTCTCGATATATAAATTTTAGAAAGTATTTTCTAAATTAATTAATTTATAAAGTATTTGGTTACTCGTTTTAAAAAGTATTATATTTTATAATTATTTTAATAAGAGAATCTGTCAATTAACAAATTTCCTTATCGAGAAAAAAAAGGGGATAAGTACAAAGAAATAATTGAGATGGAAATTAGTTTGGAATTGGATCATAAATGGAGCGAAGGGGATTTGAAAATGAAATTTTAAATGGTCGGTAAAGATTCCATCTTCCATAGCTACGGTCATACGAATTTTAGAATTTTTAATATTTATTATTGCATAATAAAATAAAGAAAAGTGACGAGTGAATAAATAATAATATCGACTTTAAGTGGATTTAATATATCCATTAATTTTTTAATCAGAAAATTATAATTTTAAATTTAATAAATAAATAATAATATCGACTTTAGATTCAGTTCACATTTTTTTTTTAATGATAAACAGGTATTTAGATATTGCCATTGCATATGAATAATAAAATAATGAAAAAAAATATTAAATGATAAATATTTTAATTAATTGATTATATTTAAATGAAAAATTTGTTATATTTACGATTTATATTGTCAGTCTCAAGAGAAAACAGGTTGGTCAAACAAAAACAAGGCGTAATGATGTTCCATTCGCTCTTAATCATTAAGTTGGGGATATCCTATCTTCAAAGGCTTCACCAAGATGTTATTTCTCTTACATAACCGATTCTAGATCAAAATGTATACCGTAATATATGTGATGACGATTTCAACAACTAACTCGAACGAAGTTCAAGTTTTGATTCGTGTTTGCCAATTTTTGGGGTAACACGAAAATGTTCACGGTTGCCGACGATCATAATTTCAGTTACAATAACAAGACTACTATTAGTTGAATTGATGAATAAATGAAGTTTAAAAAAATATTATACCTATAATTATTTCATGGAATATTATTTTAATAATAGAAAATTAAATGTCCTTATAAAAAAGACTATTCAAAGAAACATAGTAATCAATATAATACGTCAAAAAAGAACCATTCCAAAGAAGAAGAAGAAGAAGAAAAAAAAAAAAAAAAAAAAAAAAAAAAAAAAAAAAAAAAAAAAAAAAAAAAAAAAAAAAAAAAAAAAAAA